CGGGTTTCCACCCTGTTTTCCAGGAAAACCTACGAGCGTGCTCGCTTCGACCTCTGGCCTTTCTCCTGGTCACGCTCGTCCTCGTCCTCTTTGGGTAAGAAGCGTGTGTGACCCTCTGGGTCTGCCGGGCTTGGGAGAAGCAGCAGCAGGAGCCGATCGGATCCCAGCGGGTGCCCTGAGCTGTCCCCCCCCCCCCCCAATCCTGCCGCCCTGGGATCACAACTGTAGTGACGGGACTGGTGACAGCCGCCTCACGGCCCACCGCCCGGCTGCACACTCCCTCCTACTGAGGCCTCACCTTGTGGGTGAGCTGTGATCCCCCCACGTCCCTAGTGGGGAGTCGGGCGAGGCCAGGACCCCTCCGCCGTGTGGCTGCGAGTGCGGAAGCCGCACTGTCAGCCGCTCCCAGATGGAGAAGGTCCTAGAACGGGGAGTGAGGTCGTGGGCCGCTCTCCTGGGGCAGGGCCCTGCCAGGAACCCGTCCCGGGGGCAGCCTCGGACCAGCCGGCCATGCACGGACCCGCTCCAGCCGCACAGGGGCTCACATGGGGGCACTGGCCGCAGGGACTGCCCCTCCTTGGGACCGGTCACCTGAGCTTTGGGGAGACTGGCCCCCGCCCTGCCCAAGGGCAGCTGCTCTGGGGAGCTCGGGGTCATGACCTGGCTCACCTCCTGCTTTGCGTGGAGAGGTGGACAGGCCGTCCCAGACCAGCTCCTCAACAAGGGCCTTTGGGGTGCTCTTCCACAGCATGGGGGTCCTGAGCCCAAGAATCCTGATGCTGGAGACCAGATCAGAAGGAGAAGGGTGAGTGCGTGAGGGCGGGTCACGTGCCCTGACAGCCTGGGCACTGCTCCATGCTCTGAGGACCCAGCCCCCCATCGGTGGCTCAGGGCCTCCTGCTTGTCTGGTCCCTCTCCCCACGCTCAGAGCAGCTCGGCCAAGTCCCTGACCTTGAAGGGTCACCTGGGCAGGACTGACTCCACATGTCTGGCTTCAGTATTGACCTCCCGCTTCTGGGTGCCCTGACCAGGAATCGAACCCACCACCCTTTGGTGCCTGGGACGATGCTCCAACCCACTGGGCCACACCGGCCGGGGCAGACACCCTACTTTAACTGCATCCCGGAGTGCACATGGCGGTCATTTTACAGTGACCCACGGCCCGCTGGCCCACACTCGGGCCTCCACAGACTTCGGTTGGGACTGGCCCGGCGCACACACGGCCCAGGCTGTGGCCCCTGACGGAGCCGCAGCCGCTGTTGGAGCTGGTCCCGTGACAGCCACGTCAGGGGTGTTCCTGTCGCCCAGACAGAGCCCAGCAGAGCCCCTTGCATGTCTGACGGCCGTTCCTCTGGGCCAGCTCCTTCCTGGGGCACCCACCCACCCAGAGGGCACTTCCCGGCCCTCCCGCCCACAGTGAACCGAGGCGGGACCCTGGGATCCTGCCACTTCGGGTCAGAGGGAGGCAAAGGCCCGAGGCCTTTAGATCCAGGGCCCAGTGCACACGCGGGGAAGCGACACACAGAGGCCCAGCCTCCCCGAGGTGCCTGCGGAGGAGCCTGGGTTCCGGGTCCGGGGAGAAGGCACAGCCTGGCACTCTCAGCAGCCACCCTGCCCTGCCGGCGACTTCCACGGGACTCCCCGACACTCAGGCCGCGCTGTGCTGTTTTTCAGGATGCTTTATCCGCAGCCCATGGTGATGACGCCCTCGTGAGTACTTTTATTGCAGCTCACCGTCACTCTCCCGATGTCCTAAAGGGCGGGCCACTGCCGTCGCTCCTGGGCCTGGCTCCGCTGCACTCCGTGCTCTGGTGGCCTGGGCGCTGAGCCTGGAGCCCACAGTCTCTGTCCTTCCCCCTGAGCTCCGAGTCCTGTTCTCTGTCCTCTGTTCACCAAGACAGTTGGAGGGTGGGGCCTTCCTGCAGGGGGTCCCCTTTGCCGGCAGGTCCCGCTGCCCCGGGTCCTCAGGGTGCAGAGCTGGTCAGGGGGGATCTCCCACGTTTGTATCTGGACTGGCATCAGGCGGGTTGCTTGCCGATGCCACGTCCTCCTGGGGCGCCAAGGGCATGGGGCCGAGTGGGGCGCCCGGTGCCGCAGGGGGCACAGGCGGAGTGTGTCCCCCTCCTGCCCGCTCACACGTGGCTGTGGGCTCTCGGCCCAGGAGGAAAGACGTCCTCGTCCTGACCCCCTGGCTGGCGCCCATCGTCTGGGAGGGGACCTTCAACATTGACATCCTGAACGAGCAGTTCCGGCTCCAGAACGTCACGGTCGGGCTCACCGTGTTTGCCATCAAGAGGTGAGTGTGTGGCAGGATGGAGGGCAGAGAGCGGAGGTGGGAGCGGCAGGTCAGAGAGGGTCTGTCCTGTGTCCAGGGCATAACGGGATGGGGTCAGCCAGGAGATGGGGACCTGGGGGGGTGAGGGGAGCACAGCTCAGGTGGGACCCAGCTCCAGCTCTACTCACCGAGGGGCTGCCCCTGCTCCGCTCCCGGAGCCTCAGGCCCTCCTCCATATGATGGGGTGCTGCCGGGCCCCCATCTCCGGGAGCAGAGGATTAGGGAGGCCAAGGCTTCCGGCTCAGGCGCGGCCAGGGGAGTGGGTCCCCTTGAAGAAGACGCACGCGCTGCGTGGCCCAGGTGGGCCTGGCCTGGCTCCCGTGACCTCCCGCTTCCCCGCCCCCGCAGGTACGTGGTCTTCCTGAAGCTCTTCCTGGAGACGGCCGAGCAGCACTTCATGGTGGGGCACAGGGTCCACTACTACGTCTTCACCGACCGGCCGGCCGACGTGCCCAGCGTGGCGCTGGGGGAGGGCCGCCGCCTGGTGGTGCTCGAGGTCCCGGGCGCCGCGCGCTGGCAGGACGTGTCCATGCGCCGCATGCAGATGATCAGCGACTTCTGTGAGCGGCGCTTCCAAAGGGAGGTGGACTTTCTCATCTGCGCGGACGCGGACATGCGCTTCAGCGACCACGTGGGCGTGGAGATCCTGTCCCCGCTCTTCGGCACCCTGCACCCCGGCTTCTACAGGGCGACCCGCCAGGCCTTCACCTACGAGCGCCGGCCGCAGTCCCAGGCCTACATCCCCCGGGACCAGGGCGACTTCTACTACATGGGGGCGCTCTTCGGGGGGTCGGTGGCCGAGGTTCAGCGGCTCACCAAGGCCTGTCACCAGGCCATGATGGCCGACCATGCCAATGGCATCGAGGCCGTTTGGCACGACGAGAGCCACCTGAACCGGTACCTGCTGGACCACAGGCCCACCAAGGTGCTGTCCCCGGAGTACCTGTGGGACGAGCAGCTGCTGGGCCGGCCGGCCGTCATGAGGAAGCTGAGGTTCGTGGCTGTGCCCAAGAACCATCAGCAAATCCGCAACTGAGGGTGCCCTGGGGGCGCGGGGAGGGCTGGGGGCCGACTGCACTTCCTTTTCTGTCCTGTGGAGGCCTGGCACTGCCCCAACCCCCAAATACAGGCCTTGGGGCACCTCCGCCCTGTGCACAGGCATGCAGGAGACGGGCCTGGCCATCGCTCCCACTGGGTGCCCCTCGGGCCCTTCAGCTCAGATGAGGCAGGTGGTCCCGGCCCCTCCTGACAAACAGGGGGTCCCAGACGAAGTCGCTCCAGGGAAAGGTGTGCCCCCCCCCCCCCCCCCGCGCCTCCCGTGTGCAGAAAACTCGGGAAAGCCAGTGTTTTCAAAAGGGCCGGGGCAAATGGGCACTTCCTACTAAAGGAAGCCGAGGCCCCAGCAGGTGCGGAGGGAAGTGGGCGGGGACCCTCTGGAGGACAGTGCGCAGGCCCTGAGGTCCCGCAGGCGGCACCTCCCGCAGCGCCGGTCTGAGGCCACCCCACAGGCGTTCTTGCACAATTTTTCAAAGATGTATTTTTGAGCGTCAACCTATGAACCAGGAGGTCAGGGTTCGATTCCCGGTCAAGGCACATGCCCAGGTTGTGGGCTCGATCCCCAGTGTGAGGTGTGCAGGAGGCAACCAATCAATGATTCTCTTTCATCATTGATGTTTCTCTCTCTCTCCCTCTCCCTTCCTCTCTGAAATCAATAAAAATACATTTTTTCAAAAAAGATGTGTTTTCGAGACTACCCATCAGAGCGCTGGTGAAATTGCCAGAAACTGGAAACCAAATCCATGGAGAGGGGTTGGACCCCTCGATCCTGGTCCACACGGACGCGGCAAGCTGAGCGGCTGCTGCCGTGGGTGCCGGTCTCCACGTGCCCACAGACAGACCTCAGGGTCCTCTTAGGTGAGACACGTGGAACCTGCCGCATCCAGGACCCCACCCACTAGCCCATGCACGTGGGATTGCAATGGGCAGACACATGTGTAAAGGAGTCTGCGTGTAACAGAGACGGACAGACAGACAGAAAGAGAGGCGGAGCCTGAGATGCCCACAAACCACTCATGCTGGTCACCTCTGGGGCGGGACTTGCGGATCTCTTATCATCTCCTTGTCTAAGTTTCTGCAATGCATGTGACTTTTATAGTTCTGAAATATTAAAGGCATGTGTTCAGTGTCTGTGTACTACTCATCTAGGGAGAAAGTGCATTATGTAGCTTTTACTTTTTTAAATATATATATATATATATATATATTTAATTTTAATTTTTATTGAATTTTTTTTTGGTGACATTGGTGAAAAACATTAAATAGATTTCAGGCGCACAATTCCATAACACATCATCTGTATATTGTATTGTGTGTTCACCACCCAAAGTCGAGTCTCCTTCCATCACCATTTGGCCCCCCTCTGCCCTCTTCTACCTCATTATTTTTTTTAAAATATATTTTATTGATTTTTTTACAGGGAGGAAGGGAGAGAGATAGAGAGAGTTAGAAACATCGATGAGAGAGAAACACCGATCAGCCGCCTCCTGCACATCTCCCACTGGGGATGTGCCCGCAACCCAGGCACATGCCCTTGACCGGAATCGAACCCGGGACCCTTCAGTCCGCAGGCCGACGCTCCATCCACTGAGCCAAACCGGTTCCGGCATCTACCTCATTATTTTTATTTTAAGTAAGAAAATTGAGGCTTAAAAGAATAATGTAGATAGTAAATGGTAAAGCCTGGATTTGAGATAAGACTTGCCCGATGCCCTTTCCAGCAAGTCCCATTTTCTCCCAAGAAGCAGGCGCACGCAAGAGGAGAGAGACACTGATCTCGTTATGAGCGTGGCTAACTCAGCACATCTTCATGTGTATTTAAGTGCATGTAATTAGTGCTCTTTCCTATTTGCTCACTAGGAAAGAACGTACATTTGGGAACATGGTCACCTGAAAACCTAGGAACTGTGTTAGAGTGAAGATCTATGAATCACTCCGTCTCCTTTGCATCCAGACCACCTGGCGTCCGTGAAGCCTTCAGTGAGATCTGTGGTTGCATTTGCTTACAATACACCCCAGTTCCTCCAAACGAATGAATGAACAAGCAAGCACAGGACCGAGAATCTTTAGGATGCTTATTCCACTGCACTCTGAGCAGTAAAATAATAGAGCTAACAAATTTAAACGGAATAATTTAGAATTTTACCTTTGAATAGGTAGTATGTTCACTAATGTATTAAAAAGATAAACCATTACAAGGTAAAAAGTCTTAGTCACGTCTATTTTTCTACTTATCCTATATTTTTTAGCTTTTTATAGATATATATTTTATTGATTTCAGAGAGGAAGGGAGAGGGAGAGAGAGAAACAGCAATGATGAGAGAGACTCATTGATGGGCTGCCTCCTGCACGCCCCCTACTGGGGATCAAGCCCACAACCCAGGCATGTGCTCTGACTGGGAATCAAACCCGGGACCTCTTGGTTCACAGATCGATGGTCAATCCACTGAGCCACACCAGCCGGCCGGGTGTTAGCTTGAAGTTCAAAGCGCAGCATGATCTTAGAGATGTCTGCCACACCCATTCCCTCATCAGCTGTATCATTTTTTGTTTGTTTATGTAAATAAAAGCCCATGCTGACACATACCTCCCCCCACCCCTGCAGGTCTGTATTTTGCTTCTCACTTGGCCTCATGCTCTGAAGACCTTGACAGCAGCACGCAGCTCGCTCTTGCTCTCGCTCTCGCTCAGAGCTGCCTGGTGTCCCAGCAGCCCGGACGCAATAACCCAGGCCCTCCCACCCTCTGCCCTGCGGGCTCTGCCCCGGGAGCCATGGTATATGTAGGTCACTGTGCAGGTGGCCGGTGTGACCGAGTTGCCGAGCTGGGGCTGCGGGCCAGGTCCCTGTGTCTCCCTACCTGTGGGGACAAGACAGATCCCTCCCCGATGCTGCCGCTCCCACACCCACCTGGGGGTGCTGCACCTGCTCCCAGCCCAGCCCAGTGCCTCTGGCCTGCGAGCGGTGTGCTCATCTGTGGGGGGAGAAATGGAGTGTTAGTTTCAGTTGCGTTCCTGTTGTTGGGAACGACGAAGAGCCACTGGACTGTGTGTTCTTGGAAGAACGAACCGGACCTCTCGTCCAACATCCACCCGAACACCCAGCACCGGCTTTGGGAGGCGCCTACTGAGACCTCACCGAGCACCGCCCTCCCCTCCCCTCCGCCTCGGTGGCTCCCTCTGGATGAGGAGGAAGCGCACAGCACGGGGAGACCCGCTGAGGCCGGCTTCCTGCTCCTGTTTGGTGGCTGAGCGGTGGCCCAGGGGGCTTGGCCAATGCCAGCGGGAGCGAGTCAGGCTGAGCCATGCGATCCTAGGGGCACTGTCTCAGCACCCGGGCCCCTCCACGCCCAGGCCGGCGTCCCCCTCCTCTGAGCGGGGTCCCGTGGGCGGCCTGCCCGGCCGTGAAGATCCTGGAGCCTTCGTGTGGCCCCAACCTCAGCCCCTGTGCTCACCACCACCTTTGTGGCAGCCACAGGCCCCTGGTCTCCTCAGGGGTGACCTCGCCCAGGGCAGAGGCTGCCTCCGCTGGCAGAAGCCGGTGGCTGAGGGTTGGAAATACACAGACATTTTTAATGGAAGCAAAATGGGGCCACGGCGTCACCCCATTAGGGATTGAGCTCAGGTGAGGCAGGGCAGGCGCTGTGCCCGTGTCATGGCAACGACAGCAGCCTGGCGGCAGGAGGGGGGGCCTGGCCATGAGGGGCCTGCGAGGAGCCCAGGCTGCCAGCTTCATCCCTGGGCAGGAACAAAACCAAAAGACAGAGCCATCTTATATTTTGGCGGGAAATTAATTCACCCCACACCGGAGTGTTAAGTACACCCTGCTGGTGAGCCATGGCGGGCGGGTGAGGGCCTCGGCGAGCGGGTGAGGGCCTCGGCGGGCAGGTGAGGGCCTCGGTGAGCGGTTAAATATATTTTTTATTGATTTCAGAGAGAGGGAAGGAGAGGGAAAGATAGAAACATCAATGAGAAACAGTCTCCTGCATGCCCCCTACTTGGGATCACGTCCCACACCCGGGCATGTGGCCCAACCAGGAATCAAACCGTGACCTGGTTCATGGGTCCACACTCAATTACTGAGCCACACCACGCTGAGTTAGGTTTTTTTAAAAATGTACTTTTATTGATTTCAGAGAGGAAGGGAGAGAGAGAGAGATAGAAAGATCAATGATGAGAGAGAATCATTGGTCAGCTGCCTCCTACACACCCCACACTGGGGATCGAGCCCGCAACCCGGGCCTGTGCCCCAACCAGGAATAGAACCGTGACCTCCTGGTTCATTGGTCGATGCTCAACCACTGAGCCACGCCGGCCGGGCTGGGCTAGCTTTTACTTGTAAAAGGACAATAAGCATTTGTCATAGAGCAATGATGGATTCTAAATGAATTCCAAACCAAGTAAAAACAAGATCTTTCTGGGGAGAAGGGCCTCGACAGGGGTGCTCACCGTTCCAGTCCTTTCCCTGTGTGTGCACGTGTGTAGCCCGCGCCCATGGTGCATATGTGTGTGCCTGTGCGTGTTCATGAGTGTGCGTGTGCACTTGTGCGTGTCAGGCGGGGAGGATTCTGGGGCGTGTGCTCTTCCGGAAGCTCATTCCCGGAGGCGGGCGCTGCCAGTCGCCCTCTTGTTCGTGGGCACTGTCTGTGCCCCCGCTGCAGAGTTTCCGGAGCCCCTGCAGCGGAACACGGGCCGTTTCCGATTTTCCCTCCCCCGTCGTGCTGAAGGGAACCTCTGCGTCCATACGCCTTCCCTTGTTTATTTAGGACGGGGTCTAGGCGTGGAGATTCTCGGTCTAACGTCACACGATTGTAAGGTGTCGGGCCGTTTCCACCTCGGGGTCACACTGAGCCTTACTTTGAAGGAAAGCGGGGGCATGGAAGCCTGGGGCTGAC